GCCAGCGCCAAGCTGCCCCATTTTGCAGCTTGCGCAGCTTCTGAGAACAATGCGCCTTCCAGCACCTCACAACTTGCCAGGCAACCGTTCGCTCTGCTGGCCTGCCCAGCTATCTGTCCCCGATCCCCTATACAAGTGTGCATGCCGGCTGCGCCAGCACGCCCACTTTGAACCAAACCGTCCAGTGAACAGCCCTTCCCCCCATGCTCTGCACCCCTTTTTTCCATCTGTCCGTCCACCTGCCGCCACCCGCGCCAGCCCATTCGCTGGCGGGCTGTGGTGCAGTGCCCATCTGTTTCCTGGGTCCCATTGCCCGCCGGTTTTGATCTGCTGCCTTGACCTGACCCTGATGTAAGCCCTAGCGCTGACAGCTTACAGCTGTCCTGATAAGAGCTGCAGAGTAGCAGGGTGCGCCACAATACATGGAGAAGCCCTGTCTCACTCCTCCGCCGCCACCGCCAGCTGTGCCGCCACGACGGCGGTGGCTGGCGCCGGGTGCTTCCTCACACTCGGGCCGGACAAAGGGCCTGACGTCAACACGAACAGATCAGGGAGGGCGGGAGGCACCGGCAGGGCCTGCTGCATCCTGAGGCACGCCGCGCAGCGCCGCCGCGCAGCGCCTCACAGCAGCGTGCCGCCCGCGCGCCACAGCCCCTGCAGGAGCTCCAGCAGCTGCGCCCGCGCCAACCCCGCCGCCTCCGCCGCGCCCAGCTGCTGCTGCCGTGGCAGCTGCTGGTACTGCTGCAGCAGGTCGCCATCCAGTACCCCCTGCTCCTCCAGCGCCAGCTGCCGGGTGAAGCAGCGGCCGCCCTGCATGCCCGGCGGTATGGCGGCGTACCGCCTCCTGCAGGTACGACGGCAGGACCGGGTGAGAGGGCCAGAGCCGTGGGGAGCCGGCTCTGTCAGGGAGGCTGCAGAAGCGGCTGCAGAAGCCACCGTTGGCGGCAAGCCTCGACACCCCTCCCCAGCAGGCAGGCACCAGGTTTCCTGTCGGCAGGCCCCTCACCACACCTGAAGGCCGCCGCGTTGAGCCCCGCGGGCTGCGGCAGCAGCAGCAGCAGCTCCCGCTGCAGAGCGCGCAGCGCGGGCAGGCCGGCCGCCACATCCAGCCCCGCCGCCGCGGGCAGCGCCAGCGGGGCCAGCAGCTGCAGGCTGCCCGCGGCGGAGGACAGCAGTACCGCCTGCCGCACGGTACGGTCCTCAGGGCTGGACGGGTGCAGGCGCAGGCGCCGCATGCAGGAAGCTGCCTCCCCGACGTGGAAGCTGCCCCTGCAGAGGAGCGGAGCGGTACGGGAAGAAAGGCCCAAAAGCCGCCAGTCGGCAGCAGCCAGCAGGCACGCGGGCAGGCACCATGCTGGGCCCAGCCGCGGCGCATGCGAGCCAGCCCCGGCGGCGGCAGCCGGGCAGCCGGGCGCGCACCATGCCACTAGGCGCTGTCCTTTCCAGCTGGCGGGGTGGCTGGGGGCGTAGCTCAGCAGGCGCAGCGTGCCGGCGGAGTCGCAGGAGGCGAGGTGTAGCGAGGAGCTGCAGCAGGGGAGGGAGCGGGCAGAGGGAGAAGGGAGGTACATGCGCGGTACATATGCGGTACGTATGAGGTACATATATGCGGCGAGCAGGCACTCAGTGGATGGCTGCGCAGCGCTGCGCTCCTTCCCACCGTTGGGCGGCATCCCAGCCGGCGGCTGCTGTGCCACACGCACACACGCGGCATGCACACACACACGCGGCATGCGCACACACGCGCGCACGCGCAGCATGCACACACGCCCACACAGACACACGGCACACCCCAGGCCCACCCATTGATGAGGAACTGCGTAGCCGCTGTGTCGGCGCGGTTGAAGTCTTTCGACAGCAGCGACAGCTGGCGACCCTGCGGTACGGCCAGGCGGTACAGCAAGCAGCACACGTCGTTGCCAGGCACGGCGAGGCGCCGACCAGCTGCGGAGCTCTGGCTGGGCGCCTGCTGCCTGGTCGGCCAGGCTGCTTGGTACCCGCTGCAGCCCGGCGCCTGCCTGCCCCCCCCCCAGCGCATGGCGGCTGAACACAACACCGCAGCCCGCAGTCCCGACTCGGTACCACCCCCGTACCTCGTCCTTGTACCGCACGAACTGCACGCTGTGCTGGCAGTCGCCCAGCAGCACGAAGTTTTTCACCACGTTCAGGCTGGTCAGCAGCACGGGGCCGTCATAGAAGGCTGCAGGGACGTGGGAGGAGCATGGTGTATGGGAGCATGGCAGCATGGTGTGTGGGAGTATGGTGGGAGCATGGTGTGTGGCGCGTGGGTGGTGAGATGGTGGCGGCGGCGGCGGCGGCAGTGGTGGCGGCGGTGGTGGTGGTGGCGGGGTGTGCGGGGTGGGGTGCAAGCGGGCGAACGTGTTGCTGTGTTGCTTGCAGGTGCCAGCCGCAACGGGCACGCCTGTTGTGGCGACCGCAGAGGGCACGCCTGTTGTGGCGAGGGAACGTGCGGTATGCACCTGAGCGCTGGACCTTCCAGGTGGTGGTGGCAGCTACGGTACCATCGTCGGCGGTACTGGTGATGGTGGTACTGCAGGCAGGCAGGCAGGCAGGCAGGCGGGCAGGCTGGCTGGCGGGTGGGCGGATGCCGAAAAGCAGCGCGAGCAGCGTGCTGAGATCCGGCGGCGGCGGGCAAACAGGGCGTCACCCTGTGGCTGCGCTCAGGCGGGGCCCCTGGGCGCCTCATGCTGCCCTACCTGCTGAGGGAGCAGGTCTCTATGCGGTTGCCACTGGCCAGAAGAAGGTAGCCCTCAAGCCCAGACACCGACGTCACTGGTCCCTTGAACTCGCTGCAGGGTTGGTTGAAGCATGGGGGTGGGCAGGAAGAAAGTGAGGCGCGTGGCGCGTGTTCTGTGTGAGTGATGGCGGCAGGGTTGGGCTGCAGGGCGGCTTGCCAGTGCGGCGTTGCACGTGGGTGCACCGCACGGGACGGCTCAGAGGCCTCCCAGGCGGCAGAACGACCGCGCAGCCCCTCCCCGCCCCCTAACACGCAGTACACACGCAGTACACACGCAGTGCACACGCAGTACACACGCAATACACACCGGGTATAGATGAGGCGGCCGGCCCACTGCCCGCCGCCGCCGCCGCCCCCGTCGCCGCGGGTCACTTCGAACAGCAGCAGCCGGCCGCCGCAGGGGTAGTCCTCGCCTGCGGGCTTGCAAGCGGGTGGTGGAGGCAGGATTAGGGGGCAGGGACGAGGAGGAGTGCTGGGCGGCAGCCATCAGGGCAGAGGCGTGAGCGAGCACACAGTGTGTGCATAGGAACTGGGCAAGGCAGCAGGCTGCTGGCAGGCAAAGGCTGCTGGCGGGCAGAGGCATGCTCCCCGAGGGTGCCATCCGCACCCGCCGGCAGCGCCGCGCCGACCGCTAGCAGCGGTACCGTGGCGCCGGTGGCGTGGTCCTTGAGGCGCACAGCGCCCACTGCGGGGTGTCGGTGTGGGGGCGGGGGGCAGCAGACGGGCGCTCGGTTTGGGAGCATCGGCAGTGGGCAGCCATGGCAGGCAGGGATGTAAACACACACACGCACACACACCAACACACCACACACACGCACACACACACACACACACACAGCACACGGGCGCACACACACGCGCACACTCACGCATACACACACACACCCATCCTGCTGCCCTTCTCACCAGACAGCGCCCGCTCGCCCGGCCGGCGCTGGTGCCGCCCCACCCCCTGCCAGCCGCCGCCGGGCCACACCCACCTCACTTCGTGCCCCTCCATCACGCCCCGGCCCCTGGCCCGCCCCTCAACCCAGGAATAAGTGTTTGAAGGTGGCGGCCTCCCCGGGTTCCTCTTCTTAAGAAGAAAAAGGGAAAAAGGCACCTGGGGGGGGGGAACAGGGTGCTGGTTGGGAAAACCGAGCCCGCGTGGCCGAAGCTTGGGAGAAGAAAGGAAGACGGGAGATGCCGGGGTGGGGGGGGGTTGCAGGCGAGATGCTTGCTGCTGTGAGGAAAACCCCGGTGAAGCCTTGTCAGGGGTGGAAATGCAACACAACAAAGCAAGGCGGGAGGGATGCGGCGACACCACCACCGGATGCGCCGCACGAAGGGAGGCAGGAGGGTGGCTCCGGCGGCGCCGCGCCCCCCTTGCGGGGCGCCCACCTGCCGGCTGCTCAGCACCGCAAACATATCTGCCTCTGCGTAGTGCGCCACCTTGAGGGGGGTGCCCTTGATTGATACGCGCTGCGAGGAAGGGAGGGTTGGGGAGGGGGGGTGGGGGTAGGTTGGAGAGGGGAGCATGCCACAAGGCGCTGACGCCGCAGCCAGCAGCACCGGTGGCAGCAGCAACGGCTGCAGCGGCGGCAGCGGCAGGTCTCTCCCAGCACAGCTGGCAGGGCCGGTCCTGGGCGGGCCCAGCGCCGACCTGTCGAGGCCAGGGCGCGTCCAGCCGCGTGCGCGGCGGCAGCTGCGAGATCTGGATGCCGCTGCGGGCGCCGCCTGCGGTACAGGCATAGAGTCGAGCGCAGCGTGCGTGGGCATCTCTGGAACAGCATCCCTGGAACGGCGCATGCACAGCAGCCAAGGCCGTGCGGCCTAAGCAGGCGGCAGCTCGGCACGTGTGAGCCCGCCCTGCGGGGGCGGCCCGCAGGCCGAGACAGCTGCCGCCCGCGTGAAGCGGCAGGTACACCACACTCACTTGTGGCGACGATGAAGCCGTGGGGGCAGTTAACATTATGGAAAGGGGTGAAGCCTGCCGCCCCAACCGCGGCCGCCCCCGGCCCCGCGGGCTGCGGCAAGAAGTGGGGGTGTGGCAGCAGGCCGCCGCGGCTGGCCACCAGCCAGTGGGGATGCTGGCCTGTAGCGGCGGGCAAGGGTGGGCAGGCACCGTGGGCGGCAGCCATGGTTGGTCGAGGAGGCAGGAAGGCGGGGCGCATCATGGAGGGACTGCAAGCACCACACGGCAGGCAGGCGGCCAGAGCGCAGCAGAGCGGCAGGCAGCCAGGCGGCGCTGCCCACCCGCCACAAACACGCCGCTGTAAGGCGCCTCCTCGCCCAGGCCCTCGAAGCAGTGCAGGCGCCGCAGGCGGAGCTGCGGGCCGCCCGCCGGCGGCAGCAGCGGCGGCAGGTCCAGGCGCAGGCGTCGGAAGCGCGGGGTGCCGCTGCCGCTGCTGCCACGCGTGCCGCCGCTGCCTGGCGATGCGGAGAAGGCTTGGTAGGCCAGCAGCTGGTGGTCGGCTGTGAGCGCCAGCAGCAGCGGGGGCTCGCAGGCTGGGGCGGGGCTGGCCCGCGCGGCGGCGGCGTCCCGCCTGCCGGCAGCCGCCGGCCCAAAGCTGACGAGGCGCACCTCCACCACCTCACCCGGTCCATCCATCTCATCCTCCACCCCTGCTGCCGCTGCTGCCGCTGCCGCTGCTGCTGCCGCTGCTGCCACGCCGCCGGCGCCGCCGCTGCCGGTCAGCAGGGCGGGGCCGCCTGCCAGGCTGGTGCTGCTGCTGAAGACCGGCTGCCAGGCTGGCAGCGCGTACAGCTGGCACGCCCCGCTGGCACGACAGACCACAGCATACACAGCGCCACAGCCGCCGCCGCTGGCAGCAGCCTGGGCCGTGGTACCACCGTCCTGCTGCCCCTGCTGCTGCTGCTGCTGCTGAGTCTGCTGCTGAGTCTGCGGCAGGCGAGCCGCCAGCCAGCCGCAGCTGTCTGCAAACAGGGAGCAAGCTGTGATCCTCTCCTCAGCCGCCACCGGGCGGAGCGCTGCTTCGGCCGCCTCCGCTGCTGCGGCCGCCTCGGGGCCGGCGCCGGCGGCGGAAGCCGCCGACAGGCGGCAGGCGACGGGGTCGGCTGTGAGGAACCTGGCGGTACCGTCTGCCAAATACAGCAGTACATAGGGGTCGCACATGTCAGCGGACACAATGGCGCCGCCGCCGGGTGCGCCTCCTGCAGCAGCTGCCGCCGCAGGGGCGGCTAGCTCCGAGGCCCACACATCTTGCACCGACTCCTCGCCATCTGCGGCAGCAGCGCAGGTGAGAAGACGAGGGGAGCGTGTTCGGTGTGCGGGGTGGGCGAGTGGTTGGAGTGAGGTGTGGGTGGTGTGGGGTGTGTGGGTCTGGCCACAGGGCACAGCTGGCGGCCACCTGGAGGGCCCCAACAGCGGCGCCAGCAACAGGAGCCGGCAACAAGCACAGAGCTTCTGCAGCCGGCCGGCCGGCGGGCAGGCAGATGGCGGCGGGTGCAGCCAACCCAGCAGGCGCAGGCAGCGCACCCAGCAGGCGGAGGCCTTGAGGGAAGGCCTGCGCGATGCGGCGGCCGCAGCACACGCTGCCGGCGGCCAGGGTGGGGGTGTCCACAGCAAACTCCACGCTGCGGGGGCGCGGGAGGGAGCGCAGGTGGCGGGGGCATGGGCGCGGGGAGGAGCACGGCGCAGGGGCGCGAGGGTGGGGCAGCCTGGCGCCAGCACCGCTCTGCGGCCACCGCCGCCGGCACGGCCGGCGCCATGCCAAAGCAGCTTTGGCCCGGCCCCAGGCCGCGCAGCCCCTGCCGCCTACCTCTCTGTCACTTCCCGCAGCTCCTCCCCAGTGGCCAGCACCTTGGTAGCGCCTTGGAAGGAGAGCAGCAGGTAGGCATGGTGCCCCCCCTCCTGCCCGGCCGCCTCCCCAGCCGCCTGCCCGCTGCCACCACCGCTGGCAGAGGCAGCGCCGCGGTGCTGCACCGCCCACGCGGCCAGCAGGCCTGCGGGCAGGCAAGGGCGGGGGCTGTCACTGCATGGACGATGCAGCTACCACGCAGTCGCGCGCAGCGGCAGCGAACAAGGCCGGAAGTTGCAGAGCAGGCGTGCATATGGATAATGGATCTGCGCACTGTTAGAAACAGTCTGGTGTGTGCATGGATGAGGCGGGCAGGCAAGCATGGGGTCCCCCCGCGCCCAGGCGTGCGCCCTGCTTGCCTGGCAGCGGCACCTCGGTGATGACGTCCGGTACCACGCTGCGCCGCAGTACCGTCAGCGTGCCGCCCTTGCCCTCCCCGCTGCACCCTACCAGCGCGGGAGGGACGGCCTCGCCGCCGGCGCCAGCAGCTGGCTCTGCCACAGCAAAGTCCCGCAGCGGTCCTATGTTGGCCAGGCTGTCCAGGACCTTGAGCTGGTACCGCTGCAGCTGCCAGGAAGGCGTCGGTACCGCCGCTGCCGCCGCGGGGGCCACCCCGGCGGCCGAGGAGTAGAGCGCCGTGCCGTAGATAAGTGCCTCCTCGTCTTCCGAATCGCTGCCCGCTGGGCCGCCACCTGCCGCCGCACGCGCCTCGGCCGCGGCGGCAGCCGCGCCCTGGGCTGCAGCAGCAGCGGCGGCGGTGGCCTCTACGGCCGCCGCCGCGCTGCCCACCTCGATGCCCTCCAGGCGCAGCCGCTTGGAAGCCGGCTCATCGGCGGTACCATCCTCCTCGCCCGCCGCCCCTGTGGCCGCCTCGGCCGGCCGCTTGGTGCCGGCTGCGGCTGCCGGCGTGGCGCGTACGAGCAGCGAGTCTCCCGCTGCCGATCCCAGGAACACCAGGGCGGGCTGCGGCGCCTGCCCCGCCGCCGCCGCGGCGGCCGAGCCGGGCATGTGTGGGGCGCGGTGCGCCCCCGACAGGCTGCAGCAGCAGCTGGGGTGCGGCGCGGCGCCGGCGCGCGCCACCGCCAAGTGCCGAGCGCTGCCCCCCGCCTGCTGCGGCAGCAGCGCCAGCTGCAGCAGCTGCCCGCTGCGCAGGCAGAGCAGCGCCGATTCCGGGGACAGCCAGCACACCGAGGCGCCGTCAGCGGTCACCTTCAGGGCAGCTGCCTGGCTGGCATCGCAGAACCGTACCGCCGCCGGTACCGTCTCCTGCAGGCGACAGCCGGGAGCGCAGCAGGGGGGGGCACAGGCCGGCAGCGACGCCATCAGAGCCGGAACCAGCGCATGTGTGCCGGCAGCCCACACGCCGGGCTCGGCAGGTCGGCGGCGTTGCCATCCACGCCGGCGAGGCACCTGTGACGGCAGCCCACCCGGCGGCGGAGCCCACAGCGGGCAGGGCACGGCGTGGAACCAACCAGGCATGGCGCAGCCAGCAGCTTTGCAGGCCTCCTCTCACCGGGTGAACATCCACGGCATGCTGGCGGGCGTAGGCCGCCGACGCGGGGCCCGGCCCCCCGGCCTCCGCCATGGCCTGTGGATCAAACAGGAGCGGCGGCGGCGCCGCGGCGGGCGGCAGCGCGCTGGGGTGCAGCACAACACCAGACTGCTGGCCCTGCAGGCATGGGGGGGCGTGGGGGCAGGCGTGGGGGTGGTGGGAGGGAGGCGGTTTAGGACGGGCAGGTGGGCAGGGCTGGCAGACACGAATGGATAAGGGTTGCTGGAATGGTTTTGTCACAGCAAAGGGACAGCATGGCAGGCGGTACGGTACTGCCACCCTACCTGGCGGTAGTGCAGCACCAGGTGCTGGCACAGCACCAGCACGCCGCCGCAGGGCGCAGCGGACAGGCGGTACGCGTCTGCGGTACGTGCACGGTGCAGCAGTACAGCAGTACAGCAGCAGCTCGGGTGCGGCGGCGGCGAGGATGTTGGAGGGGCAGCCGTGCCCGCCACCAGCCAGGCACCCCTGGCGGCAACATCTAGTCCCAAGCCTGAGCAAGCAAAGGCTGCCGCGGCCACCAGGCGGCCTTGCACCGCCTTGCCGCGGCGCCCGGTACAGGCAGCTTCGTGCTGGCCCCCCCACCTGAGGGCAGCTCCTGCGCCCCCCAGATCTTGGGGTGGTGCTTGCGGGTGAGGTTGAGGGAGAGGGCTGTCAGCACACACGTGTCCTTCTGCAGAAGGGGCAGCCGCCATCATGGGCGGCGGTGGCACAGCGGGTGGTGGTGGTGGTGGTTTTTGGGAGTGCTGTGTGAGCGCGCGCATGCAGAGGGGAGCAACGCCGTGGCGCCGCGGCTGCGGCCGGCTGCGGCCGGCTTGTGTTGCCTGCCGCCGGCCAAGCAATGCCGGTGCGGCTGCCGCGGGGCCACAATCGCCTGCGCGGCGAGGCCCGTGCCTCCCACACCCACCCATCCACAACACGCCACACTGCCTCCTGCCCCCCCGCCCCGCGCGCCACCCTCCCGCCCCACCTTCTGCCGCAGGTTGCCCGCCCAGGTGGGCTCCGCCTCGTGCAGCACCATGAGCACGGGCTCGCTGTAGCCGTGCAGGAAGCAGGCGTCGCGCACCTGCGGAGGGGAGGTGAGGAATGCAGGGGGGGAGGGAGGACAGCAGGGGAGGTGAGGAGCGCAGGGGAAGGATTAGGGACGGTGTTTGGAAGAGAGTCGGGGAGGGAGAGGCGGGCGCAAGGCGGGAGGCGGGTGGGAGCAGGGCGTGAGGCGGGAGGCGCCAGGGAGAGAGTGGCAGCGCACCTCTTTGATCCCGGCCTTGCCCAAGTTGTCGACGTAACTGTTGCCCACCGCCGCCGCCGCCGCCGGCAGCCCCGCGGCGGCCGCCGCGGCGCCGCCCCGCGGCGCGCCGGCCTCCCCGTCCGCCGCGCCGCCGCCGTCTGGCGGCGCCAGGCCCAGCGCCGCCGTCGCCGCCGCCTCCTCCTCGTCCTCCTCGGCGGCCGACAGGCCCAGGCCAAAGAGCTCTGAGTCTACTGCCGGCAGCACCGCCAGCTGGTGTCTGAATATGATGACAGCTCCACACCGCCCCAGCGGGTCTGCACGGGCATGGGCAAGGGGAGGCCGCTCGTCGTGGCCTGGTGCCAATTCATGCACACGCCCTGGCATGCCTCCCTGCGCGGATAACCACTGCTGCGGTGGGGGCTGCCGCTCCCCGCTGCTGCCCTGGCCGCCACAGGGACAGCCCGGGGGGGGGGGGAAGGGGGGGCACAGAGAGCACTCGCGCACACACCACACACACCACACACACACACACCGCACACATACCACATACATGCACACGCACACCACACGCACCTGTCACCGCAAGTGGCGGGTAGGGGAACACGGTGCGGCCCAGCTTGAGGGAGGCGTCTCCCTCAAAGTAGTGCAGGCTGCTGGGCGCCAGCTCGTGCCGCCCCGCATCCCAATGCAGTACCGACAGCTTGGCGTCCCTGCGGCGGCGCGGCGGCACGGGCGGCGTTTGCGGCGGCTGCAGCAAGGCGCAGGCCTGCCCGAGCAGGCGCGCAGCGGCAGGGACTGGCCGGGCGAGCAACAGTTTTGAGTGTGTGCAGGCACTCCCTCGGTTTGTTTCTGATGGACAAGGTCTGGCGGCGCCCAGCCCTGTGATATGGTACTACATGCACGGTGTTATGGTACTGCAGGTACTGACAGGCGCACACCTGAAGGTCAGCAGCAGCACGTCGCGCTGGCCCGGCGCCCGCCCCCGCAGCACCGCCACGCTCTCCGCCACGCCAAACAGCCGGCAGCTGGCCAGCTGGTCCAGGCTCTGGGCCGTGTGGGTGGTGGCAGGGCCGCCTGCCTCGCTGCCTCGCACAGAGTAGAGCTCCAGCTGGGTGCTGCGCACAACCACCAGGTCTGGGAGCGGGTCTCCGCTGCCGCCGCCATCATCGCCGTCGGCGCTGCCGCTGCCCTGCTGCCGCTGCGCGTGCGTCAGCCAGGCGGCGGTGCAGTGCGTGACCGCGGTGGGCGGGTGCACCTGCATGAGCAGGGTGGGAGACGGAATTGGGGCAGGGCAGGAGGCTGAGTGGCTCTGCCGGTTGCCGCGAGCGACGGCCTGCTGCGGCCGACCCCTTGGCTCACCTGCGTGCACACGGCGGCCTGCTGCTCCGCCATCGGCGGTCCCTGGCCGACTCTCTGTCACTCCCGCATCGCAAGCAGGCGGCTAGAGGGCTGTGCGGCGTTGTGTGCGGGCGATGGGGCGTGATCGAGCAGCGGCGACCTTGTACAAGCGCAGCCTCCAACGCTGACGAATCAGCGGTCGTGAATGCCGCACAGGCTTTTCATTCGCAGACTTGCTATGGCCTGCTGCGGTGCCACCCCGCAAGCTGCAACCTGGACACCTGCGCCGCATCAGGTTGGCATTGCACGACCTCAGCCGTGTCTCAGCAGGGTGGGGCATGGAATTGCAGGGTGATGGCACCGCCCCATCGGCCGTCGAGCTGCAGGCAGCGGGAGACGGCCAGGGGCCATCACATGTCGACCTGGTCACGGCTCAACAGCTGCTGGAGCAGAATGCGGTAGCCATTTTCAAGCTCAACGGTGAAGCGGGGGCTGTGGGCGGGCCCGTGGCTGCGCCCTGCCCTTGCAGCGCCTGCCCACAAGTGCTGCAAGCCCGATGCGAGCCCTCCGCCGCCCCTGCAGGCCACCTGATGCTGCGCCGCCAGCGCGGCGGCTGCGCACCACCCTCCGCCGAGGAGCGGCGAGGGCTGGAGGAGGCGCAGCGCTGCCTGCTCGAGGCGGCCTCGCTGCTGCCGCCAAAGGTGGGTGCGGTTGTGGGTGGGAGGGGGAGACTGGTGGTGCTGCGCAGCCGCGGCCAGCCGCTCAGCGGTTCCAACCCCATGCTCCTTGCCGGCGGCGCCGTCGTGCCAAGCCTGGCCGCTCCCCTGATGCGCACTCTGCAGGTGCTGATGCCTCCGGGCATGGCGCAGCGGCTGCGGCAGAGGCTGCAGGCGCACGGGCAGGAGACGGCGGCAGCGGCACCGCCGGGCGGCAGCGATGGCATCAAGCCGGAGCAAGGCGTGGAGGAGGCGCCGCCGCCGCAGCAGGATCCTCAGCAGCCGCAGCCGCAGCAGCCTGTGAGCGGGGCTGCAGGCAGCAGCGGCGCGGGCGCCGCGCTGGCCCGCCCGTCGCCGTTCTGGCAGCAGCGGCAGGACAGCAGCGGGCTGCTCGGGTTGGGCCCACTGCTGCCCTCAGGATCGCTGCTGGGCAGCGTTGCCACGGCTGGCCTGCTGCAGCCGTCGCAGCAGGCGGGGCAGCAGCAGGCGCAGGGCTCTGTCGGGGCGCTGCCGTCCTTCCAGCCGCACCACGAGCAGCCGTCGCTGCTGGTGCAGGGGCTGCAAGGCAGCATGGGCGGGCTGCTGACGGGCGGCAGCGTGGTGCTGGCGCCACCGGCGTCGGGCGAGGCCGGCGGGCAGGCGGAGGGCGCGGGGCAGGGCATGCCACCCATGCCTGCCGAGCCCGGTACCAAGCAGGACATGTGGCTGCTCACCCACGCCTACTCCTCCATGACCCCGGAGCAGAAGGAGAAGCTGGCGGCGCAGCCGGCCGAGGTACGCACCTTTGTACTGCGCGCCCGCATGCGCAAGGTGCGCGACCAGCTGAAGGCCCTGCAGCAGGCGCAGGCGCAGGCGCAGGCGCAGCAGCAGCAGCAGCAGCAGGCGGCGCCTGCAGGCGGCGCGGGCCCGCTGTCGGGACTTCACATGCAACAGCAGCAGCAGCAGCAGCAGGAACAGCAGCAGCAGCAGCAGCAGCAGCAGGTGGGGCAGGCGGCGGCCGTGCCGCTGGGGCTGGCGTACGGCGGCTGGCCCGGCGACGGCTTTGCCGCCGCTCCGCCGCAGCCGGGCAGCCTGGGCGAGGTGCTGCAGCAGCACCACGGCGGCGGCGGCGGCGGCGGCGGGCTGCTGTTGCCGCCCAGCATGCCTGGTGCCGCGCCGGACGGCGGCGGCGACCCGCTGCAGCAGCCCGGGGCCCGCCAGCTGCAGAGTTCGCCGCCGCTGCTGGAGCTGGCTGGGCTGGACAGCTTCCGCCGAGTGCCCTCGGTCGGCTTGCTGCAGGACCAGCAGTACCAACAGCAGTACCAGCAGCAGTACCCACAGCAGTACCAGCAGCAGGAGTTGGGGTCCGGCCCGCAGCCGCCGTTCCTGCACGGCCCGCCGCCGCTCCACGGCCAGTATCAGGCGGGAGGGGTGCCGGGCGGTGGCCAGCTGGCGTTCATGCACCCGGGCGACGGCCTGCTGCCGCAGCAGTACCAGCAGTACAATCAGTACCAGCAGTACCACCACGGCCAGCAGCAGCAGGCGCAGGCGCATCTCAGCCTGGCCCGCCAGCCCTCCCCTCCCATGGTGGCTGTGTCGGACCTCGGGTCGGCGGGCATGCTGCATGCCGCGCTGGGGCAGGCGGGCGGGGGCATGGGCCGCCCGCCGACGCCGCCCTTTGCGGCCATGACGGAAGGCGAGCGCATGGCGCACCTGCGCCAGCTCAAGCGCCGCCAGGAAGAGTGGCTGGAGCGGCAGCGCACGGCGGCGGCCGCGCTGCAGGGCGGCGGCGGCGGCGGCGGCGGCATGTGACGCCGATGCAGCGCAGGAACGAGTCCCGCCGCCCGCTGACCTGTGTTGCCTCGCCGAGCGTGCCGAGCGTGCCTTGGGCCTGCCGAGCCTAACCGACACAGCATGCCCACATGTCCCTTCCCTGGGTTTGCATTGTTCCCCCTGATTCTACTCGCCACCTGAAACTTGGAATCTGGATATACTGGTATTCAAGCGCTGGCGGTGTTAAACCCTAGGCGGAGCGTTTTACAGCCACCCACGCCCTAAACCCTAGGCGGAGCGTTTCACAGCCCCTAGATGCACCCTAGGCGGGCACCTCCACCTCCTCAAACATACGCTTGAGCGCCGCAAGCTCCCGCAGCTCCGTCTCGTTGCCCGCGGCCCGGAAGCAGTCGGCCGCCTGCGCTGCGCTGCGCGGCACGCCCGCGCCCTCCAGGTAGCACCTGCCGGCGCGCGGGCGGGCAGGCGAGGGGCAGGAGAGGGGCGGCACGCGGCGGCGGTTGGCACGCCGCAATGATGCTGGCAATCCGACAGCCCAAGCATATGCATGCCCTGGCCCTATGCCCTAGCCATATGCCAACCCTCCACACCACACCACAGCGCTTGCCCCCGCACGCCACGCCGGCACCACCGCCGGCAGGCGCCGTGCCGCCCGCCCACCTGCCCATCCACGTCAGCGCGCTGAAGCGCACCCCTGCCGCCGTCAGCGGCAGCGGCAGGTCGCCCTCCACGGCAAGCTCGGCTGGCGGGGCGGCCAGCGGCGGCAGCAGCCCTCCCTGCCCCTCCCCCTCCTCTCGATCTGCCCCCGCAGCGGCGCCGGTGCCGCCGCCGCCGGCGCCGCCGCTGGCTGGCTGGCTGGTGCCGGGGGCGCCGGTGGCGGCCGCGGCCAGCTCGGCCTCAGCTAGATCCAGAGCCTGGGAGAGGCAGTCGTATGCCTGTGCCCCATCCCGCCCTGCACCAGCAGCCAGGCGCATGCGGCGCATGAGGTGGCGGCACGGCACGGCACGCGGGCAGCGTGCAAAGCACACCCGCAAGCTTCGCAGGCAGGGACCGTGAGGCTGCACCGGTGCATGTGGCGGCGCCCGCCGCGCCTCGGCCCGGCCCATCTCCACACAGCGCAGCCTGGCACGGCGTGGAGCGCGGGGGGCCGGCGAGGGCCGCGCAGGCCCCAGGCGCACATACGGCACAGGCCAGGGCTGCTCAGCCCCCAGGGGGCGGCAGGCGCGGCCAGCAGCAGCGGCGGTACCCTCACCTCCCGGGGCGGTACCCTCGAAGAAGTGGATGCCGCAGCGCAGGCTGCCCTCGGCGCTGCTCAGCGCGGCGGCGGCGCGGTACTGCCGAAAGGCGGCGGCGCCGTCCCGCGGCACCAGCAAGCCGTGCTCCAGGCAGCGAGCCACCTGCGCCGTGGGCGGGGCGGGGCGGGGAGGTGGGTGGAGCGGGTCGGAGGAAGGAGCTGAGCCGGCACATGAATGCTGGGCGCTCTGGGAGCCCTCGAACACGCAGCGCTTCGACTGTTCCGGTGACACACAATGAAATCCAAACAGGCAAACACGGGTGGCAAACAAGGGCGGCGGCAGCGGCGGGAAGCACCTGCAGCGCGCCGCCGCCGCTGCCTGCGTCCGCCGCCTGGCTGTGCAGTCCCAGCAGCAGGCGGTGCACCGACGAGTGCGCCTCTTGGAACACTTCCCACTGAGCCTCCCCCCACGCCTCCTGGTGCTCCGGCGCAATCTGGTGGGCCGCATCCTGCAGAGAGGCCTGCACCGTGGCGTGCAGAGCCTCTAGCAGCGCCTCCGGGGTGGCCTTGGCTGCGCTGCTGCTGCTGCTGCTGGCAGGGGCTGGTGGGGTGTCGGCGGCAGGCGCGGTGGCTGCTGCCGCCGCGGCGCTGCCCACAAGCGCCGCCTTGATGAGCTCCGAGACCGTGGCCGCCAGCAGCTCACGGCAGCGCACCGTGCTGAGCCGGGCGGCCACCAGGGTCAGCTGCTCGCGGGCCGCGTGCGCCGCGCGGCAGCACAGCCGCGACGGCGGCGCGGCGGCAGGGCGGCGGCGGCGGTGGGGCCGCCAGGCCGCGACCCTGCACCAGGCGCGCGACGGCGCGCAATTGGCAATTACCATGGCCTGGTGGTGTGCATCCAACGGCGCTGGGCGCTGCGGGGGCAATTGCTGGCCAGGCATGGGAGCTCACCTGCAGCCGATGAGGTGCGCTTGGACCGCTGTGCGCGCCAAAAGGCCATCCATGGCGATGCGGATCATCGGGAGGGGCGCCGAGGGAGGGTGGGGCATGCATCTGCTGGGCCGTGCTGTGCTGCGCTGCCGCCGCTGCCAGCACCAGCTGGCTGCACCCCTGCACTCGAGGCTGCGCTGTTTAGGCATGTGGCGTTCCCTCGAGCGGGGCGCTCCACAGAACCGCTTACTTTGTATTGGCTGAGTCGGCTGGTGGCGGCCACCGCCTGCTTTTGCCGCCAAGCTGCGACCCCACCGCTTCACCCGTCCTGCCACATCACTGCCTCTGGCCCAGAGTACGCATATGTTACACGGAAGGCAGGCAGGTAAAGCGGTATCGTCTGGGGGCAGGGCAGGGGGAAGGGGATCGCGGGTTCGTGGGAGGTACAGGCTCCAGGGGAGCGGCATGCGTGCGTGTGTTGCAGGAGCTAAAGGTCGCGGGCGCGGGTACAG